CCCCCCAATAAAAAAAAAAAAAAAAAAAAAAAAAGTTAAACGACATTATTTTGATATTTAAATTTCATTTCTGACAAAAAAAAATTATTTTTTACCCCTACTTCTACCAAATAAAAAATAATAATATTTTTTTTCATTAAAATAAAAATGAAACAAATAAATTTTCAATCTTAGTAACTAAAAAAAAAGAATTTTTTTTTAAAAAATCATTAACTACAAAAAAATATATATTTTAACAAAAATAATTTTTTTTAACGACGACAACTCCCGTCGCAAAAAAAATAAAATAAAAATTAAACGATATTTTTTTATTATTTAAATTTCATTTCTGACAAAAAAAAAAATTATTTTTTATTCCTGCCCCTTTTTGTTTTCCATTCCCACTCCCTTTCCCCACCTTTTTTTTTTTTTCCATTTCCCCCCCCTCTCTCTCGATCAACGGCGAGCGGCGGAGGAGCAGCCGAAACGGCAAACGAGCCCTAGCCATTCGCCATTGCACAGCTCGCAGTCTCTCTCTCTCTCTCTCTCTCTCTCTCTCTCTCTCTGTTCTATCCAGGTAACATTCTCTTCCGTCATTCCACTATTTCTTGTTCATAGCAAATGAATAGACCTCCATGAATTTGATTTGTGATCAGCTTCTGAATTTCAGCTCTGTTTTGGTTGTTGTGTTGTGATCAATGGGGTAAAAAAAAAAACTAAAATACCTAGAAATTTTTAGTAGTCTTTTTAGTTTTTTGGCTCAGCTGAGATGACTTAAGTTTCATATGATCCCAGGTTATGAAAATCCAGAGATTACGAATTTTAATTTCTTCATTTCTGTTGAATTTTCTTGGGAAGAAAACATAATATTAGCAAGAAAATTATCCCTTTTTCCTTCTTCCTGGAAAAACTCTGCTTTTTTTTTCCTTTTTTTTAAAAAAAAAAATTGTGTTTGATTTGCAATTGTTATTTTCAGTTTTTTTATGTTGTCTTCAGAGGTCAGAGTGGGGGTTTTTTTTTTTTTTTTTTTCAATTGGTTATTTGAATTGAAGGCATTTAGCTGTGGAGAAGAATCGAACGTTGCTCATTAAACTATACCCGGAAATATCGAATTTAACCAGAGACAGTCCTCCAATTGCATCGTTTATCATTCGAGTGGTCTGCTCCGTGGGAGATCGCAAGTGTTTGATTCACCCAGGTAATAAATTACAATTAAATGTTTCTTAATTTCTTGTTCTTTAGATTCTTTAAGGACTTTGTACTAATTTCTTAGTGCTTACAACACCCAATTGTGCATGTTTTGTTTGTAATTGATGCTCTTAAAGTCTTAATTGTGTTAAATCTAGGTATAGAATTTTGCAGATTAGCATTAGAACACCTGTTGATAAAACAAATTCAGGATGAGAATTTCATCAGGTCTATTGTTGATAAATTTTCTTTCGTCAATGCTGTTTAACTGGTGTCATCTTGTGTCAATGCAGAAATTACAGACAAGAAGCTCAAGAATAACGACGATTTTGTTTGGGCAATTGAGGTTCCACTAACGGGGAAATTCATAATTGACATTGAATTCCTTGATTTGAAGATTGTACCTTTAGAGGTATGATTCTGTTACCTACCTTTTACACTCGTCTTTTATTTTAATAGAATGATTGCATATAAACGAAAACATTTCAAACTGTCCTCAAGTTTAGCAAAGAATAGATATGAGATCAGTTGAATTTTAGAATCACTATCGATAACTGTGATAATCATGCCTAATCCCCTTGTCAAAATCTATAAATCTCAATAAAGGTTTATACAGTAAAAATAACAAAGTTGTATGGAAATAGTGAAATTTCACTAATGAAACAGGAATGGCAGCAAACTTTTCATAATTTTGCGTGTTAGCCATTTCTGGTGTTAAGAAAGCCAGAATGACAGCTGATGAGCAGCAACCTTCAGTGCGTGTGATGTATAATTCTCTAACAAGGTATTTTCATAAAAGAAGAGTTGCATGTTTCACTTGTTTTTGAAAACATGATACTCCTCCTAAAGAGGAATTCTAAGATATGATGTTTTTGGTCAACCTCTGAATGGATAAGTTTTCTTTAACAGAGGCAGTAAACGGAAGCTTGAGCAGCTACTACAGCAATGGTCGGAATGGCATGCGCAACATTTTTCTTCATCACATGCAAGCCTGACTCATTTTATTAAACCCAAAATTGTAGTTTTCGCTTTCCCACTTTTCTTTTAGTCAAAATACTGTGATCTTTTATTACTCTTCAAATGAAGAAGAAACTAATCCAGTGGAATTTCCATAAAGAAGTGATTCTATACATTTGGATGCAGAGGTCATTTTTCTTAAGATTTTTTAGTTGGCTGTGGAGAGTATATAGGGCATCCTTTGGGATGAATTTAAATCCTGGAAAATTAGCCCAAATTGAGTTCAAAGCCGTATGTTATTTCCTTCCTCCGCTAACATATCAGAGAATGTCCCAAATTGCCTAGACAGAATCTGGTGGCAGGCAAAAATGGCCCATTCATCTATATCAACCATTTAAGATTAAGAATATGGTAAGAGTGAATAATAAATATGGAAATATGGTTCAAGTACCAACGCATGCCCAGTCTCCTGCACTGTTGGAGTTGGGACTGACCAATTATGAGGATTGAGTTGGGATGTGGAACTTCCGTTCTGTTCCGGAGGGCGGAAGGCTAGAAGGCTAAGATTCATGCATTATTATACTGGTTTTTCTTAGATCAGCAATAACCTCTCTGTTCTTATTTTTTCCTTTCATAATATTACTGTTGTATTAAAAAATGGTGTAATGTGGTAATTTGTAACATCAATATAGCCAGCAGCATGGATAATTATACTGGTTTTTCTGCATGCTATATGATACTGGTTTTTCTTAGATTATCAATAACCTCTCTGTTCTTATTTTTTTCCTTTAACAATATTACTGCTGTAACTTAAAAATGGTGTAATTTGGTAATTTGCAACATCAATATAGCCAGCAGCATGGATAATTTGAGGTGTGAGCTGAAAATTGATTAGTTTAATGGATCATATTGCCCAGGATAAAATCAAAAAAAAATATCCATAGTCTGTCTGGTATTTGCACAATGGTAATTCAGTTTCAGTGTTTCTTATGGATTCCTAGCAGTTATATATTTATGAAGTTGTCCCTTGATGTTATTTAGGTTATGCAATCGGTTTAGATGTCTCATCAGTTAGCTGCATTTTTTAAATATTTTTGTTTGGTTGAAGTCCTTGTTGACATATATTTATCCATTTAGGTTTCCAATGAAGTGCTAGAATCTAGTGAAGAGACATACTTCCCTGCACTTCATGTTGGTTTGGATAATCCTTCTGCAGTGGTATGTTTTCTTATGTGTCTCTGGTGCACACAAAGGATTAACCTAATATCTTATTTATGGCATATTTGGGTTGGTTTATGACCTTTACTGTTTGTCTTATCTCTGTAGTCTGTACCTGTTTTGACGATCGGTTTCTTTAGTTCATTGAAATATGATGTGATTTGAAATGTTCTACACCCACAACCGACCGTGAACTTATTAAAACAATAGATTCACTGTTGGAAAAACGACTTTTAGCGGCGTTTTTAAAACTATATGTCTGAAAAACGCCGCTAATTCCTTTAGTGAAGCTTACCACCAAACGCCGAGGACGCGGCCATCGCTGTAAGTTTATGACGTTTTAAAAACATCGTAAAATTAGTATAGGCAGCGTTTGTATAAACGCCGCTAAATGTGGCAGCCAACGGTCACATGACGTCACACAGGCATTCAGCAGCACTTCAAAAACGTCGAAATAGCATTTTTATTATTTTAAAAAAAACAACTATAGTGGCGTTTTAAAAAACGCCGCAATAGAATTTTTTTTTTTTTTTTTTTAACCACTAATTTTGTGAGATTTAACTCTAAAAATATACCTGTAAAATCGTAATAGATTTTTTTTTTTTTTTTTTTGAACTACTAATTTTGTGAGATTTAACTTTAAAAATATACCTGTAACATAGTAATAATGAATAAAACGTGGTATAGACATATTTCTGTGAGATTATTATTCCCTCACATCTATAATAGTACCCAATACAACATCCTTTAAAGAAAAAAAATCCAATAAATCATAAAAAACTAATAGTAGATAAACAAAAACTTATCTACCTGCCTAGCTACTATATACATCACAAATCATATTCCAAAACATATATATTTACGGCGAGGCATCAAACAGAAAGGAACTCAAGTTTACGCTTGCACCTCCGGATGCCACTATTGGCATCACCAATCCCAGAAGAGTCTCCAACAACTGATAGGTTCTTTACAGTCACCAGATGCTGCAATGGTGCCTAACAATCATTTGCATTTGCAGCAGCTGGCTTCCCTTGGGAACAACTGCCAATGTTCGAAAAATCCCTATGGGGCATCAACTCCTCTCAACTGCCAAAAAATCCATCATCAACTGCAAAACCACACACATATACAAGCACAAATTACATTTGTAGGAAATAAACAATCAAAGTACATAAAGAATTTTCAAAACGATGTTAATAATTACATAATTCACAACACACACAATGGTTTGTGTATCCGCAAAATAATAAGAGGGTATATGCTTCATTGGTTTGAAAAATTAGAATTTTTTTGAATAAATCATAAAACACTATTGGTCGGGTACACAATCACATGCTATTCTGCACCCATATAATAATAATATCTCCACTTGAACAGAGTATTGGGAGTCGACAAACAAGGTCTGCATTTTGGAAGCATATGATTTGAAATCCAATTCGGTTCTTATGTACTTTTGTGTAATATATTTGCACTTTGTGAATAAACTCAATCAAATTTCAGTTAATAGCTAATATTTTTTTGTATTATGAGATTTCATGTTAATTAGTAGAGTCCATTACTTTTGTATTAGTGTTTAGAAGCCAAACATGAAATGTGTTAATTAATTAGTTAATAGCTAATATTTTTTTCCCTCTCCCTCCCATATACCAACATATAAGAAATGCCTTGCACTATATCTCCAAATAAGAATTTCCTAGGCAATGATTGGGAACTCAAAACATAAATTTACTTTAATATCTCTACAAATAGGTAAGCACTAACCTAATTGAGGACTCCCCAAGTCCAAGTGAATGCTGAACAGATTTATTTCTCACGAATACTGCCAAAGATAGAAAGCATGGGAAGAAAGCAATGATAGTGAAGAAACAGCCATATAATAAACAGTATGTCTGTCAAACTCGTCAATGTAAAAAAAATAAATTAAAGGAGTAATCTATGACATCAAGGGAATGGAAAAAAGGTTTGATCATTCTGTTTGACTATTATCACTTCTATTTTTGGAAAGAAGATGAGCTACATCTGCTAAGATTTTGATTTCATGAAATCACTTATCAAAAAAATAAAAAAGAGGTTCATGAAGTTTTTTCTCATTAATACGTTCAATCTCCAACTTCACACAAAAACTATGAGAGATCAAAATGGCCCTAAAACAAAAATTGAGCTCACCTATGGAATCTACGAGAAGAAAAGAGGATGCAGGAAAAAAAATTTCCTTTACACCAAAAATGATAACTATGCAAAAGAATTACCTTAAGCTTTTGAATCCTTAACATGGTCTCTTTAAAAGTAGGTCTATTCATTTCTCTCTCAATCTAACATCTAAGTTCTATAGAAGTTTCATACCATCTCATTTACATGATGATTTCTATTTATATGCACATCAATTACAATAAAATTCTTTAGTTTTGTACCTTCCAATCCTTGAAATCATATCTGAAGACAAAATGGCTGTAAGCAACTTTACCCGACATAACAGAAGGGGCATCAGCAGCATTTGTTGGCGCTGAAAAGAAAGTCAATAACTACAAATATAATACAAAAACAAATAACTAAACAATATTCTCAAATGGATGTTGTTATGAGTTGTTGTGTCTTACAAACAAGATGAGAGCCCTTTTCATCCACAGCCATTATAACCCGCCCATCTTTGACCAAGAAAGACAGAGCAAATAAATTTTCCACTGTCTGTGCAAAAGATTTTCTATTCAATATCAAACTTTCAAGTTTAACCCTTCTCTTGCTCTTCAAGATGTCGAACATGGTAAACATATTCTCGTCAGTATCTGTCCTCTTTTCTTCTGCCCCAGTATTACCGAGCTATTGCACAAGAAATTTACATGAATGAATACATACTGTTGAAAGAACCTGGCACCATTACTAGATTTGAATTTTATGAGTTAAAATCTCATGTATAAATAATGCAATGCACTCACAAAAGATTATTCGACTACGCAAATATTAGAATGAGCTAAAGAAATAAATCATGGGAAACATGCTACAAAATGTAAACTGGTTGAAAAGGAAACGATCAAGGGCCAAGAGTCTCCCCCGAAAGAATAGATTTTGCCAAGAATATGGCCCTTTACTTTTAGGAGTTTCATCTTGATCATACTAAAGGCATAAGGACTTGAAGAATCTTAACCAACCAGTAGATTGAAACTGTAGAGAGCATAAAAGAAGCCATTTTCTTTCTCTTTGGAATGTCAAAATTGAGAAACTAGGCTACCATCCCCTTTGCCTCATCTTTTAGGTTACTAAATGAATCACTCTTACAATAAAAGTAGGTGTTGCCCCTGCTTTAAATGGAACATCATGTCAGGAAAATGATATACTCTCACCATAAAGGTTTTGGTTGCCCCCACTATTAATGGAACAAAGCCAATTCCTCAGTTATTTGTTTCATTACAGCCATTACTAGTGAAAACACTAAATATCTGTCTGACATTATGTAACATATGACACAAGAGAACCAAATTTGGGGAATCAAAATAATCATAAAGTGCTCTGAGGTTAAACATCTAGAAGATCTTAGTTTTAAATGACTCAAAACATGCTGACTATAATCAACTAACCCTCAAGTGGTTGCAGTAGCAGGCTGACCAGTAACATCATTCTTCTTGACATCAGCTAACACAACATTGATATCATCATCCTCAAAAGCAAAATACACAGGATACTGTAACCAAATATAGCATCATCAAGATAGTTTCCATGATAAAATCACATTGAAATATAGAAAGTGAAAAGAAATTTGGGGATGTGAAACACCTTGATTAATGAGTAGGCCAATAAATTATAGGACATGGCAGAAAGTCAAATGTCCTGGCCATTAAATGGTGTCTAAGAATCCTACAGAGCAATATAATATATATGTATCCCGAGTCCATTTGGGAGCCTATAACAAACACTGCAGATTACTTTGTTTAGAGTGTTTTGATAAAGTTTTTGCATACTACACAAACATAGCTTCAACAAGCTAAAAAAAATATGATTATTCAGAAGTATGTGGGAGGGATACTTTTAACTTCTACTTTCTGATTATCAGTTTTCAGCACAAAGAAGCTGCAACAAACAGGGCCTGATATCACTCACAGTATTAAAGCATTTGGTCAGAATGAAAGGAAACAAGTGTACTACTCAGATAATAAACAGGTTGGTAATTGAATCAGTCCATTTGATTTACATTGAATTTTAACTAACAAAAAAAAGGAGAGTGATATTCTAAGCATAAAAAAAAATTTAGTCATCCAAGGCCCTTATTCTAGAATACCGTTGGGGCAACAATTATGTGCATATTCACTTAAATGCAATTAGGAGGAGGATGGACAAATTCACTGTTATGTAACCAGGAAGAGAATATACATATTCAACTACAATTAAAAGAATAAACGCCACATCAATCCTAATGAAACGGGCAAAAGTTGGGAAGTTAAAGATGCATTCTGACCTTAAGCAGCTTGTGAACGAATTGAATAGCATCACTTGGTCCAAAAACCTGACAGTTGTTAACAACATCAACTTTATAATAGAACTCGGAAAGTGTGTTGACAAAATAGTTTTAAAATGAAGGCAAAAGAGATAGTGGACAGATGATATACCCCCCACAGGCCATCACAGCCAAGAATGATGAAGTGGTCTCGCTCTGTAAGCTTCGATGGAGCTTCGAAATCGGTTCGATCTGGAGCTTCGATGGAGCTTCGAAATTGCTTCGATGGAGCTTCGAATATCTGAACCTTCGATGGAAATCACTGAATCTTCAACGGAGCTTTGAAATCGGTTGGATCTAGAGCTTCGATGGAGCTTCGAAATTGCTTCGATGGAGCTTCGAATATCTGAATCTTCGCTAGAAATCACTGAATCTTCAACGGAGCTTCGAAATCGGTTGGATCTGGAGCTTCGATGGAGCTTCGAAATTGCTTCGATGGAGCTTCGAATATCTGAATCTTCGCTGGAAATTACTGAATCTTCAACGGAGCTTCGAAATCGGTTCGATCTAGAGCTTCGATGGAGCTTTGAAATTGCTTCGATAGAGCTTAGAGAGGGTTGAGAGAGAGAGAGAGAGAGAGAGAGGGGGGGCTCAGATAAAATGATGTATGCGTATGGGTTGAGAGAGGGCCAGATACAAAATAAGGATTGAGAAGGGGCGTGCGGTACACCGCATTCGGAGGCATTTTTCAACGCCTCCTATTATAAAACAGTGCCGTTTTGGTAAAAAGAATATGCGGCGTTTATAAAACGCCATTAAATGTTAATAACAGTGACGTTTAAAAAAACGTCGTTAAAAAAACGCCACCGTAATCCTTTTTTCCTGTAGTGATTTACACCCACAACCGAACCACAGCACATGCGAAACTGTCCGTAGCTCGTCGGGTGGGTTCGGATTGGACGGTTTGCTGGGTCTCCGGGTTAGATGAACAGCCCTACTTTTTTATCATTGCTTTTTTTCTAGGCAATGCTTGTACGATTTTTCTTTTTCTTTTTTTCTTCCTTTTTTTTTGTTGTTGTTGTTGGTATGCATGTATGTCAGGTTAAAGAAGAACAAGTGCAACTTCAAATGCAATGGTAAAACCTTAGGTAATTGATATATTTGCATTAGGAGTAAAACAGTTGTTTAAGTAGATTATATAATACCATGTGAAATGGTAGTAGATAGGTATTTGCCAATCATTTTGATAATGAGAAATTTTGAAGACTTTTTTGATGTGATTTGTGTTAGTGGAATGATCATTTGGTACTGGTAGTAATATCGAGAAATTTATCAAAGTGATAAGTGTTGGGGATATTTTGGCTTTTGTTTGTGAGTTTTGATTTATTTTTAGTTTATTTGTGTTTTCTGGAAAGTGTAAGTAGTTGAATTGTTTGTTTGTTTTTTTTAAATTCTCAGTGATAAATGTACTAACAGTACAAAACTAAATTATTTGTAGCCACCGCAAGTACCAGTTAATGCATTATTTACTAAGCTGATATATATATATATACTTTAATTCTCGTTGTTTTTATGACTACAAGTTGCATCATGCAGTTTTGGATTTTTGTTTTTATATTTTTTTTTAACCTGTTTTCATTATTCATATTGATCATCAAGCCATCCAAATTGTCCCTTGTATGTAGAATGGCAGTGCTGCTCCAAAGTCACGCATTCCTCAAATGGTTGCTCAAACACTGGGTTTTGGCCAAAACCTGCTGCTGCTGGTGATAGTAACTGCAATGTATGTCCTGTCCTCCCCTAACCAAAAAAAAAAAAAGGAGTAAATTCTTGAGTTTTTATTTATTTATTTATGGGTACCTAGAATTATGGTTCAACAGTAATAATAATATACATTGACAAAAAGATCGTACACAAGCTGTATTGAGATTTATCATTTTTAAATACTATGCTCATTAGTGACCTCCTAATTACAATGTCATTGACACTGAGCTGCAATGACATCTAATTGTTAACAGGGAAGTTACTTCCAAAAGGATTAAGATCAAGCAGAAATGATTAATGTTCCTATTTTGGTTTGCTGAATTAACTTTTTAGTTTATTCATATGCATCAGCGGTTTCTGGATTAATTTGTGTTTTCATTTTTCAGGTCAGAAATTTTTTGGAGAGATGCAAAATATGGTCCAAGAATTAAAAAACTTAGTTTTTTTAAGTTTTTTCATTTTTTAATATATGTAAGCACAGATAATTTTTTTTATTTAATTCCTTTGTATATAGTTTTGAATATTTAATTTCCATTTATGAAATATATGACGTTATTCTATTCAATATGCGGTTATGATTCAAAATATAGTATATAGTGTGTATTACATTCTTCAAATGTGCGTACAAATATAATATTGATTATTTTTCAAATATGTAGCACCCTTTTTTTATCATAGATTTTATTAGTTATTAATCACACTTAAAAAGTGTGATCTAAATGTTATTAATCACGCTTAAAAAGTGTGATTAAAAATGATCCTTTTTAATCACACTTCCAAATATCACACTTAAAATGTGTGATCAAAATATTTTTAATCACACTTAAAAGGTGTGATCTAAATGTTATTAAGCACACTTAAAAAGTGTGATTAAAGATGACCCCTTTTAATCACACTCCCAAAGCTCACACTTTAATAAAACTTAAAAGGTGTGATTAAATAACATAGATCACACAAAAAAAGTGTGATCTTTATCTGTTTTTGTAGTAGTGTCTTATATTTTTATGAAGCAATGTTCATGTTAAATATGAACTTATGTAAAAAAATTAAAATTAAAAATTTGTGAAATTTCTCAGTTTCATTTGATTGAGAAATTATCCATACGGTGAAATTGATAAATTTGTCAATTTTGTAAATTTGTGAAAAATTTCCATTTTAATATAATAGACCTATGAGTGTTTGCGAAATTATGTTAATTTGTATGTGTGTGTTTGGGAGAGAGAGAGAAATTTCTTTTAGTTTTCAATTGACTATTACATGAATAATGAAAATTTGAGAAATTTGTAAAATTTCTTATTTTTGTAAAGAGTAATTTCTCAGCTCAAAATTTTGGAACTTCTCCAAATTGTAAAGTTCTGAGTTTGTACGTGTTTATATGGGTGAGAGAGATTTTAGTTTTTTTTTAATTGGCTGCTATAAAATTGAAATTTTTTAAATAAAACATAGGTTCCATTCACTAGTAAGTAAATCCATTTCTAGATCTGACCCAAAAACACTTTCATTTTTCAAAAGGAATGTTACACATATCATATTTCTTTACTATATTTTATTTATTATTTAAGATGTTTTCATTGTATTAATTTATTGAGTCACACCATGTATTGAGTCACATCATTTATCGATATTATTAAAGTAATAGTGACACATCAAAAGATAAATTTAATAAGATAAAAAAAATATATTCCTCCTATTCCAATTTATTTGTCCCTTATAAAAAAATCTAATTTATTATGGAGTCATACAATTATTATATTTTAATTTAAATTTTGAAATATTTTTTTTACCGTTGCTCTATTATTTGAATTTTAAAATGTGTTTATAATGATTTATAAAGAATAAATTTGGAAATCTAATAAAATTTATTATCCCAAAATAGAATGTGAACAAACATTTTAGGATAGAACAGAAAGGTGAACCAAAAAAATAAGACTGATGGAGTATAATGATATATGATGATAATAAATTTCATTTATTATTATTCTTGGTCTTTGTTCCGGGACAATCAATTTCAGTTACGGCTTGTTTAATTAACAAGATTTATAGTGAAATAATTAATAATCTCATAAATTAGTGTAGAATTAATTATCTAATTAAAATAGCGGGATACTATTTTTATTATGTATTCATTTTGTTTTTTTTCTTTCATATTTGAAATTATGGCCCTCAACCCATCTCAATATTAAAAATTCGCCAATTCTGTTGGAGAAAATGTCCGCCGTACATGTAATCCAATTAATAAAATTTACAATTAAACATAAAATTATGAGTTCATAAATTAACAATCTCAATTTTATGTTATAATCCTGGTAATTTAATGTTGGAATCTTCATTTATACAACCACATGCCGGTGAGGAAGGATTGTGTGTGATTGGATAAGCGTACAAAAAAAATAAATAAATAAATTGGACTTGAGGGTTTAAAAACTTCTGTTTAGGACCTAGCCACACACAAATCTCATAAATCGGACCTCCGCCTAAATTCCTATAATTTTTATACTACAAACTTTGTTGCCACTTGAGGTCATGGTATATTTTACAACTCAAGGTATAACAATGTTCCGTATTTTGGGTAAATGAATGAAAGAGATAAATCCCACGAAGCAAATTATTAAATGGATTGCTAAATCATGAACTAGATGATGCCCCAATTTCAACTTGCTAAATCAAACCTGGATGAACTGGATTGCTAAATCATGAACTGAATGATGCCCCAAATTCAATTTGCTAAATCAGGAACAAGATGAATTGGATTTGTAAATGAAAGAATGTTTTGCATTCGTAAAATCAAACTTGCACATTACAAAAGCCAAAATTAACCTTGTAATTTTAAAATTTCCATCTATACCAAAAAATTTTAAAAAAAAAAAAACACACTCACACACACAACAACAACTAATATCAACGAGGCCATGGCTCTGTAATTGAAGCCTCATTAATTGACAAGTTTACAGGATGCTCTACGATAGATTTGCACTTAAAGGAAATTGGTTCGATAAGGACGTGTGGCTCTATGCTACTTTGGATGAAGAATCCAGGTTTTGAGGGTAGTGGGAGACTGATACTCAAGCTAGTTAGCATTAAAACAATTGAAGCCATTGTTGGTCTCTTAGCGACTTTGTCTTGTACACATAACAAGCCAATGTGAATGTACCTCATCATTTCACTCTTTGAACCGCCCCAAAGTGTTTGGTCTATCAAACTCAATGATTTTCCTTCCCTCCATTTTTTCCATGCCTATAGGAAGCAGATGAGATTAAATAAACTAACAATTAATTCATTTGATTGTGCACCCAAATACATGTTTTGCCATGTTTGGATCACATAACATCCTGTACATGTGAAATTATAAAGAATGCATTCAAAAGTTTTGCACTCACATAGCTTAGAAGATGATCTATATGCTCTCCGCGGCTAGAATGACCATTCTTTTTACCACTCATAATCTCAATGATTAAAACACCAAAATTGAAGACATCAGTTTTAACTGAGAATTGTCTGTAATTTGCATACTCATGAGACATATACCCACTGCATGACATGACCAGTTCAATTGATTAAGATTTTGATGCTAAAATGATTTTTCAACACCAATTTAAAATTTGGTATTTTTTTCTTGTTCTGGTTTGCTTTCCTAATTCATTAATAGATTGACTTACAAGATACCAATCAATCTCGTGAAACATGTAAGAAAACATATAATTTGTGAATAAGCAGAAAAATGAAATTTTTACTTACTAGGTTCCCACAATTCTTTTTGTTTTGCCTCAACTTTGATCATTAACAAACAACCTTGCCGTGCCAAAATCTGCAATTTTGGGGTTCATCGCACCAACTAACAAAACATTACTGGCTCTGAGATCACGGTGAATTATCTTAAGCTGAGAATCTTCTTGAAGATACAAAAATCTGCGTGCAATGCCTACTATGATTTTGTAACGTGTTTCCCAATTTAATAGCATCTGCTTGGTTGGATCTACATAGTCATCCAAATAATAAGTAAACACTATGCATAAGTATCACTATGACAGATATGAAGCTAATGCACAAGTAGCAAGAAGGTAAAAAAAGTTGAAACAATCATAGTAATTGAGATTCATTATGGACTTCTCATCAGATAAAATAGTAGGATTATCTTAAAGTCATAGGTACATTTGGTGGAGATATAGCCATACCAAAAGTAAAACGATCAAGGCTTGCATTGGGAACAAACTCGTAGATAAGAAGCCTTTCTTTTCCTTCGAAGCAAAAACCGAGGAGCCTAACAATATTTTTGTGTTGGAGTTTGGCCATTGACACAATTTCATTCTTGAATTCAACTTCACCTTGTTGAGAACCAAATCTAAGTTGTTTAACAGCAATTTCCTGCCCAATCGAGAGCTTACCCTATTGAATGTGAATCCATGAGGTTTTATGCACTCCATGTTAGCAAAGTTGTGCTAAATTATATTGCTATATGTAGCATATAGAATGGTTCACCCTTTTTTTTTCTTTTTTGTGTGTAATTTTTTTTTTTTTTTGGTTTGTGTGTGTAACTAACACAAGTTGTCAATAATGTTTCGTTACCTTGTACACCAAACCAAATCCACCTTCTCCAAGCTTATTAGCACTTGAAAAGTTATTTGTTGCTGCTCTTATTGTGGCAAAATCAAGTTTGGAAAGAATCCACACTTTGAGATGCATCCTCATCTTGACATAAGTAAACAAGTTAAACAGACTTTAAATGAGAAAATATATTTAGGCTAAAGATTTTTGCATTTTATAAGTGTTTAATCCTACTTCTAGAATTGCACATCTGAATCGTTTGCTTTTGTTGGGATCGTTCACCCATGCGGACAAAAGTTGCCTGTGAAGGTGACATATTGGGTTTGAGTATGTGCAAATGAGGGACATATTGGGTTTGAGTACAGTGAACTAATTTGCAAGGTATCTCGTGCTTGGAGGTACAGGCACCTCAATGAAAGACTGGATTCCTGAGAAGTGAAGATCAACATTGCTCATTGGTGGAGAATTTACAGAAGACTGAGTAGCAGACTCAATAGTTCACCCCGTAGGTGCGAAGTAGGGTGATTGTTCAGATGGTCTGCCTATGTGGACTAGAGTACAAAATCTCACAAAACAAGTGTCAAGTCTCGTATAAATGTGAATTGTAGGCATTCATTGTACAATGTGATTTAGAAGTCCAAGCCTAGCACATAGACAATATTGTACAATTGAGGCCAGGATAGACCTGCTAGCATCAAGAACTTCCTCTGTGTGCCTAACTTTAGTTTTGACAATCAACCACAAGTTTTAGTGATCCATATACCCATATTTTATTTATTTATTTATTAATTTATTATTATTACCATGCCAAGAATTTGCATATTAAATTTGAAACAAATTGTACAGTATCATTCTCTAATGTAACCAAAAGCAAAAACCTTTCTACTCTTCCATTTTTGAATATTTACCAGCATGATGCACGCCACCTCGTCTAAAAATCATAAAAAATTTTGATGCAGTTCTTATCCAAGCCGTTTTGGAGGGATGACCAGAATCCAACCTTTCTGCAATATCAGAAACCCAGTAACGTTAATCTTTTTTTTGTAATAACCATTGTTAAATTTAAGCATAAGCCATGCAAAATGAATAAGCATAAATAATAGCTTACTTTGGAAAACCTCACTCTTCGCTAATTGGAAGAGGCACAGGCAAGGGTAATAACCACTAATACGAAACTGATTGGAACGACAACGATAATAAAGGTCTGAAATGTGGCACTCCTGTTGTCTGCACTAGGCATAAAATGCTAAGATTAGATTTTTCAAGTGCAACTTCAACAATTGACTGGAGGATCAAATGGTTCCAATCCAAAAAATACTAAAGAAAATAAATCAAACAAATTAAGGCATAAGATAGGATAATATGTGGTTCAATGATGTGTCTTAGGAAATGAAAAGCAAATTCATCATATGCTATGAAAATTCCAAAGCTCACTTTTTAACTCAGCTACCAAAGAATACTATTGTCACACTACACTACTTAAATCCCTTTAAAAAAATACGATAAATACTTCTAGAATGTTAGGGCATTGGCTTTCCACCCTGTGCCCTCCATAAAAGCCCTAACAAAAATTAAATCTACTGCAAATAAAGACAATAGTTTCTATACTTTGATCTTTCTATCATTTTGATCCCTATAATGTCAATTGGCTTAATTTTGACTCTGAATTTATGACACTGTTTTAATTTGTTCCAATTTATTAAATTAACAATTTTTTTTAATTTATGAAAAAAACGTATATAAGTGACATGTGTCCTATTTTTAAGAGTAAAATTATAAATTTACTCAATTTAGTGAGTTAATTTCAACTAATTTAGTGATTATATTTCGTCAAAAACACTAATCACATTATCAATGAAATCAAATTGACACAAAATTTACAATTGAGCCAATTGAAATTATAGGGGAGTGAACGTACCTTCTTTTGTTGTTGTGTTCATTGATGGTGTTAAAGGGGGAGGAGCAAAAAAAACTGCAAGTGGTGGCGGTGGCAGTGGCGGTGAAGCATCAGCTGTAGATTCAAAGAAGGGATACTGCTTATACAGAAAAACACAGCTTGGTTTCAGAATATCTACCGTTTGCTTCCTATTACAACAACTTTGATAATCACCCACTGCTCCTCTTAGACAATCTCTACAATCACCTGATGATAGATCTGGGGTACACATCATGAGAGCATATATATTCTCATATTCTGTGAAGTTTTTGTTACCACTTGCAAACTTGAGTCTAGAAGAACCCATGGAAGCTTTGGAAACAAGGCTATCAACCAAACTAATTAAGGCCCAATCAAACTCATCCATGTTGTTGCTAACATTATTTACATTCCACACAAACCCAGCTGGATGCGTATCCATAACCCCGAAAAAGTACTTGTTTGAGCACCGTACAATGCACCGAGTGGGTCCCCATTCAACAGCTTCTTTTTGGTTGGGACAGTTCTTGATGATGGACTAACTAGGGGAATCGATACAGTCAAAGCAAGTTTCATTGGAAATGTTAGGTCTGCAGAGGCCGAGAGCATAAACAGTGTCAGAGCCATGGCCGACGGTGGCAATGTAAAAGCCACCATTGGCCGCGACATTTGAGGCAAGGGAAGAGAGAGCAATGTTGCGGTTTTTGCCATACGTGCTGTTTGTTGTGAAATTGCCTGTGCTATAACAGTCCTGAGCAGTGATTTGCGGAAGGGTTATGAGTATAAAAGAAAGAAAGAAAACCAAAGTTGAAGTACCTATTTCTTGAGTGTTTGGGACAAGAATTTAGTTTTTATTTAGGAAGAAAAGAGTAGCCAAATGTGGTTTTGACAGGGTCATAATATTGGGATCAGCTCCCCTCACACTATCTTCTCTATTGTACGGGGGTGAAATATTCTCTATTCTCCGTACTCCTTGAACCCAAGCTTTACGTAACGCCACTTAACCTGAAAACCAAAAGATGGTGAGTTGCTCGGCAGTGTGCTGCCAGATAAACCCTCCGACGATCAAGTCAGCACACTTGGAGAAGAAGGAGAAGAATAGAGAGCGCTCTAGAGAGAGAGAGAGTTGGGAATTCCTTCAGATTGCTTACCTCTGACGTCCCCCATTCCTCCTTTTCTAGGCTAGCCATGCAGCCTCAGAAATTGTGGGCGCACTACCTCTGCTGTCCTTCTCTGGACAGGCGGATGTGCTCCCCTCTACCTTCCTTACACGTGTAGAGACCAAAACCTCCAAATAGTGTTTGTTGAACCGCCAAACGGTATTGACGCATACCAAGGGTGGATTTTCCCCCTTTACCATAGGTCCAGGTGGCTTACGTAACCTGGTTATCACGACCGGACTATCACTTGGGATAAACAAATATCACAATGACTAGGATGACCGAACTATAATAAATCGGTCCATCTGAATTGACTGGTCATAGGGCGCGCGGTTTAACATCTCAGTTTCGCCCTGCTACCTCGTAGGACATCTCGGCCCAAATTTAGTCCGGACTGTCAGTGGCTCGGCCCAACGCACCAGTGCAGATCTAACCGAATATCAGGCCAAACCATAGCTCGGTTGAGCACCTGCATGCCTCTACATTCTGATCGACGGTCTGCTCGGCCCAACGTAATGGGCTGGGGAGCCGCGTTGGTTCAGTTCGGTCAGACACGGGGTCTGGCCCTCACAAGGCCCAACACCATATCCCGTGCTACTGTAACTCAGCCCTTTTGTTCGGCGCAAATCCCCCTCTCAATTGGAATGGGGGACGTCAGAGGTAAGCAATCTAAAAGAATTCCCAACTCTCTCTCTCTACAGTGCTCTCTATTCTTCTCCTTCTTCTCCAAGTGTATTGACTTAATCGTCGGAGGGTTTATCTAGCAGCACATCAGCGGGCAGCTCACCATCTTTGGTTTTCAGGTTAAGTGGCGTTACGTGAAGCTTGGGCTCAAGGAGTACGGAGAACAGAGAATATTTCACCCCCGTACAATTGGCGCCGTCTATAGGAAAACTTTGACAGACAAACCTTGTCATCCAAACTTTTTCAACTGTTTCCATGGCAAACAACGACGAGACACCACTGTCCGTTGTCGACGGATCACACCAGAGTCTGTCTGACAGAGGGATGGCCCTCCTGCTATTCCGACCATGGCGGGCCTAGAAACCTCTTCTAGAGATGCGCGAGACAAACGCGCAAGGAGCACTGAACACTCTAAGAGTCCAGAGGGTCCCCGATGACGAGGAGAGTCACATACTCAACGCTTGGAGCACAAACTCAGAGACTAGGACGCCCTCATTCGGAAGATGGCGGCTGAGATGAACACGCTGAAGCGCCAGATCAAGGGGAAGGGTGTTGCTGGAGTGGGCAACCACAGTGAGCGCACCCCACCCCATCGCTCTGACAGTCGTCACCAAGATAGGACGCCCTCTCTCTCTCTCTATCACCAGAAGCTATGGAGTTGAAGACACTAATCCACCAATGGAGGGATCTTACACTCGCAACAGCAATTACCGTCCCTCACGTCCTTCGACGATGTCGAGATACTCTTACTCTGCCCGTTCGGGGGGACCTAAGGGATGTTTTGGAGGAACGAGCTCGCTGTAGAGAAACCCAGAGATTACCGGCGATGCAAAAGTTGAGTCCCCAAATCTGTTTCAGTGAGGAAGTGGCGATGCCAGGGCCTAGAATGATGGCCCCAACACCAATGGACAGAGAGCTACCAAGACTTACCGCCAACCCACTGTCCCTAGAGATCAAGAGCACACCACTCCCTGCCGGATTCCACCAACCTAAGTTCACGTTGTACGACGACAAGACAGATCTGTACATGCATGTGAGTCATTACCGGCAAGTAATGGCTGGCCACCAGCGCAATGATGCCTTGATGTGTCTTATATTCCCAGCAAGTTTGGGAAAACTGGGCCTGAAGTGGTTTGAAAGACTTCCGAAAGGGAGCATCGAGGGGTGGCAACAGCTAGCAGAGGCCTTCGTCACCAGATTCAAAACTAACACTCGAACGCCGAAGGAGGTTGACCATCTCTTGAGCGTCAAGATGGAATCTGGAGGTTCTTTGAAGGCATACAATGCCAAGTATTAGGAAACCTACAATGAGATCCTCGATTCCCCACCAATCTGGCAATCGCCCAATACAAGTGGGGTCTCCTAGTCGGACATAGGCTACAAGACTCGCTCACGATGCACCAACCCACAACCATGGAATCCTTGATGCAGCAGATCAACGAACATATCTGAGTAGAGGATGATGCCGCCACTGCCACTGCAATCGAGAAGGCAAATCCGGTTGCGGCGGACAGAAGAATGGCTGGGAAGGTTCACTCGGTGGGGTAAGAGGACAACCGCCCTAATGACCGAGTTAGAGACTAACACCACAGTTCAAACCGCAATGATAGAAACAAAAGTCGCAGAAACGACCGAGCTAACGCTCCTCGCAGTGAAGAGGAAGATGCCAAGAGGAAGTTGAAGGCACGAACCGACATCACCACTGTCTTTAAGATCCCAATTACCGCATCCTAAGTGGAATCCGAGGTGAACCCTACGTTCGTTGGCCGGCCAAATTGGGAGACACACAGAGGGGCTTCAACTCGAGGTATCGTTGCACCTTCCATGAAGAAAGGGGGCACCGAACGGAGGACTGTGTGCCGCTCAAACAACATTTGGAGGAGCTGGTGGCAGCTGGGTATCTGGACCAGTACATAGACGAGGGCATGAGGGCCGCTCCCCAAGGACAGGCTGAGCCAAATGGCCTTGCTGTCTTGGATGCAGCGCCCTAAGGCGTAATTAATGTCATTTACGGCATCATTGAACCAGCATGGGTTTGCGAGCTGAGGGAGATGATCAAGAAAGCCAAGCACATGAGAGAAGTGCTCTTCGTTCAGCCCACCGTGAAAAAAGGAAAGACCGAGGTAAAAGATGTCCTGACTTTTTCAAGCAGGGACTTGGAGAGAATTCAAATGCCTCATAATGATGCCTTAGTGGTGACCCTTCGCGTCAAAGATTTCGACATCAAAAAAATTCTGATTGACCAGGGGAGTTCGGTCGAGATCATGTACTATGACGCATTCAAACAGATGAAGCTGGAGGACAAAGACTTGGCTCCAACAACGTCTCCTTTGGTTGGCTTTAACTCTCAACCAGAATGACCGATCGGAAAGATCATATTGCCAGTGAAAACTGGTTCAGTCACGCAGCAAGTGGAATTTTGGGTGCTTAAGGTCCTATCAACCTACAACTTAATCCTAGAAAGAGGCTAGTTGCATGCTATGCAGGCAGTAGCGTCGACTTATCACCTGGTCTTGCGCTTTCCAGCACCAGCCGAACAAGTAGAAGAGGTTTGGGGGGACCAAGTAATGGCAAAACAGTGCTTTGTCGTAGTAAATGGCAGCTGGGCCGCCAAAGGATTCGTTCAAATGATAGAAGGACCAGAAGGGAAGGAAGTCCTGGAAGACGTGAGAAGAAAGGCCGAGGAGAAATCGGTTGAAGATTTGGTGGAAATGCGCATTGACGAGAATGATTCAAGTAAGTTCTTTCTTTTGGGATCATCTTTGTCCTGCGCTGAGTTTCTCGATTATGTCAACTTTTTGGTTTCCAACATGGAGGCCTTTGCATGGACGCCTTACGATATGCCTAGTGTCGACCCTAGCTTCATTTGCCACTAGTTGAATGTCTTTCCGAATTCACGACCGGTCATCCAAAGGACACAACGCTCAGCCTTGTACCATGCCGAGATAGTGGCGGAGGAGGTCAAGAACTTGCTAGAGACGGGGGCAATAGAAGAAGTGTAGTACCCCAGATAGATCTCTAACACGGTGGTAGTGCCAAAGAAGAATGGTAAATGGCGGGTGTGCGTCGATTATAAGACAGTCAACCATGCGTGCCCAAAGGACAACTTCCCACTCCCTAGAATCGACCAGCTGGTGGATCTAACCGCTGGCCATCAGAGGTTTAGCTTCCTGGATGCTTATTGCAGCTACCACCAGATTGCCATGTACAAACCCGACCAAGAAATCATTTCGTTCACTACTCCAAGAGGCTTGTACTGCTACAAAGTCATGTCGTTCGGTCTGAAAAAAGTCGGGGCAACTTTTCAAAAGATGGTAACCAAAATGTTCGCCCCCCTTCTTGGCTGCACTATGGAGGCTTACATCGATGATATGGTGGTAAAGAGAAAAGACAAGTCTCAACACCTTACCAACCTAGCATAAATGTTTGCCACACTCAAACATCACAAGCTGCGTCTGAATGCCTTCAAGTGTGCATTCGGAGTTAGAACCAGAAAATTTCTAGGTTTTTTGGTCACAAACCAAGGAATCAAAGCTGACCCTTCCCAGATCAAGGCAATACAAGCACTGGAGCGGCCAAACTCCACGAAGGACGTGCA